TGTTTCACTCAGAATAAAATGATTGTCTCATTCCCCTGGGGCAAATTTTGAAAATATATAAATATTTATGGAGATAAATGTGTGTAAACTATGGAGACTAAGCCTGGCAGCTCGAGTGCGCTTTCATCCTGGCTTCCCCGATGCGCTCAGAAGACGCGTCATCGTTACCCATCAACCATGACAGTGATGGCCTGTTGAAAGGGCATTTTTCTTACATTTATCTCAGAGCATCATTAGCACAGGTTAACAGTTAAATGGTTATTGTTTTGTGCATGCAAAATAAGACAGAGTCATGCACCCCTTATTCATTGAGGGTATAGCTGCTAACATCCTAAAGGGTCAGAAAAAAGGGGCACATGCAGAGCCCAAGAGCAGAAAGTTCCATCTGTCCTGATGTCTGGTTGCCTGTTGCCCCAAGACAGCGACACCATGGCAGACAGCACAGGTCACTGCTGATGACTGATCCACATGCCGGGGTAAAATTGCCTTGAGTGAAATCAATCAGATGGCATCATATCTGATTCTGTGGTTCTGCAACACAGTGCTTACAGGTTACAGGACAATGTAGCGATTTTCATAGCAACAGAGCCACAGAGTTCAGTGCCTGAGGCTCTACCCGGGAGCACATTCTAGACTCTAAAAGGAGGCATGCAGCTCCCATGTGATGGTGAATGTTTTCCCTTCCCACTGATCTGGGCTGGCACCGGGAAGGTCATCCATTGCCTCCTGAAGATAACTGTGGATATTAAAAGGAAGAGACATTTGAGATGTATATTTTTCTAAGGAAGGAAACACAGACAGCCAATTTGTTTGATTAAACACACCCATGCACACACCCATGCACATATGCATGCATGCTATAATAGAATAAAATGCATGCTGAGACCCTCCTACTGGTGTAAGTCTAGGAGTGATTTCGTTATCAGAGACAATTTACAATGAAGTCATGCCTATTTAGTGTGAAACTGGACATTAATATATTTGGACATGTATGCACAAGTGCATTTATGTATACATGTGTGTATACATATGAAAAACTGTCCAGGAGGTCCACTGAAGGGAAGTTGCCTGGGGAGATAACATCTTAATGAAAAGAAATGTTTTATTGCTTTTGTATGTTTATACACATGGGTACACATGTGCATACACACATACATGTAAACATATATAGTGACAGTAGCAGCTTGCTGAAAGATAATAAAATTTTTATACCAACCCCATCGGCTTTTACCTCATCTCAGCCTACAGAGTCCATACACTCAGAGGCCTCGTGCTGAGGTCTGGGGCATCAGCGTGAGGCCAAGAGTGGCTGTAGCTTGGTTCTTGTCACTCCAGAGGTAAGCAGGCTTCTCTTGTGCAAAACAGAGCTGTGTGGCATGCATGCCACCTGGAGGTGTGCATGAGTTCAGAAAAGACACCCAAGCTGTTGTAAGGTGGGACCACAAGCAGCCAGAGATGAGAGAAGTCACAGCAGACTAAACTTGGTGACCAAAAGGCAGCAGCAGTCAGGGCAGGGATGAGACTCCCCAGAGCCAGACAATGACAAAAAGGCCCACCCTGTATCAGCACACTGATATCATGTGACTTTGCTCATGTCTAGTCAATAGGTAAACGCAGGATCCAAGGTTGAGAGACCCGTTCTAAGAAGAGAAGCCACATGGGAGGATGACATTCTCCTCCATCCTGCGAACATGTCCATCAACCTCTCCCGATGTCTAGTGATGGAGGAAGATTTCCAACATGGATCCCAGGGATGGTAGGATGAACCTATGGATGTCCTCATCCATGGTCAGCTAGTGACCATTTCCTCAGACACAGGCCAAGTACATTCACAAACCTGACCAACATCCTAGCATCCTCTTCACGAGAGACACGGTGTCTCTGGTTTTACTGTGTTGACATCCTCAGGGCAGTGAGAAGCTGGCAGAATTGCCCCTGGGGAGTGGCACAAGGATTTGGTACTGCAAGGAGCTTCCCAGGGCATAATCAGGCTCTCCAACATCTCTGGGGTCACCGCCATCATCATGCACACTTGATAGACAGGCTAACACATGTACCATCAACGGTGCGGTCACAGCCACCCTCCCAGGGTGTGATGTCACCGCTCTGCTCCGCTGATGCTGATGAATGAGCTGTCCCAGTGCAAATTCAAACCCACTGCCATGTCCCTCGAGCTGCCTCCTCCATGCCTCAGCTGTATAAGACTTAATGAGCTTTGCAAATTTAATTGCAATGTATTTCTTGTCCTCAAGGAACTCTCAACCAACACGAACAATCGCGGCCTCACCGTCCCTCCATGCTAGGATGTTCAGACCATTGAAACCATCCTCTCTGAGGGGAGCAATCAGCAAACCATCTCTGGTAACGGAGTACTTTATAAGTGCTAATTATTACTTCTGTGAATTATTGTTACATTTTTTCCAAAAGGGTAAAATAAAACAGCATAAGCAGAAAAGAATGTTTTAATGGGCCCCTGGCTGAGACTTCTGAACTTGAACACTATGCACAGGGAAACATTAGCCGTGGTAATTATATAAGGATGTCTCACTGTCTGTTCTCCTTCTTCTTCATGTCGCTTCTCTCCCTGGATGAGGACTGGAGGGGTTAACCCCCTCCACCCCATACTCAAGGAATCTCTAGGTCCTCTATGTCCCTCTGACATGTACAAGGCTCAGGTTTCATGATGATAGAGAGAGCCCAGTAGATCCCAAAGCCATTTCTAACTTAACCTATTGCTTCTTTGCTTATCAAAATCTTGTAAGTAAATTGTATGAAGCCTCCCAGTGAAAGCATGGGTGGGTAATGAAATCACTAGACACATACTTAGAGGCAGGGGCATTTAAAAATGGAATAAATAATGAGTTGTAGTTCCTGTGCCATTTCTGTTCTCAATCGTCCTCGAAAATAGCCAGGGTTCCAGAGGTTTGTGACAGCAGCAGAAGCAGGCTGTCAAAGAGGAAAGCAGGAAAGTGGGGTGTGACGTCACCAAAGCAGCCCTGGAGTCGGGGGCAAGAACGGCAGTTCTGGATCAGAGGCAGGTTCCATCAGTGAGCTGCCCACTACTGAGGGACTGTGAGGGGAGGCGTGTGTGTCGGGGGAGCTAGTACTCTCAAGTCAAGCACATCTACAGTCATGGCAGAGGAGGGCTACACTTTCAAATCCCAGGTGATTTTCACTTGTCACCAGAGAAGAGGGAATATGATTTCCCCCAGGAACCCCGCTGGCTACGGAAAGCAATCCCTACCAAGGAAGAATCGGTGCCTGTGGGCAGCCTTGAGGCTGGTCCGACATTGATGACATCACTGGGATTCCCAGCAACCCCAGGGAACCTCTGCTGCCTGGTGGCAGCCTGGAAAACACTAGCTGGTAGCTGGCAATGTGTGCACGTAGGTGTGCACACATGTGAAAGAATGTTCCTGTGTGTGCAGATGTGTAAGGACCTGCCCAAGTTTATGGATGCTAGTAACTAACAGATAACATTTCTGTGTACAAGTAAAATAAAATGCTGTTTGATATTCAATGTCTATGTAGCTACATATCCTCGTTCAGAAAGTTGATGTTTTATGTATCTTCATCTATGTGTGTGTGCATACACAAGCGTCTGGCAAACTCCAAGCACAAACACATACATACATACATATGTGTGTAAACACATGTAGCTGTGTGTATGGCAGCTATGTGGGTTTTATCATGCTTAACAGATAGCTCAGCCATTTCTTTGCACATACATGTTTGCATACTGGTCGTGTTGGTGAAGATCTCATAAACACATGTATATGACCGTGTGGCAGCTGGTGAAATCTTGCTGGAGAAAACAGTGTGCAGCCCTTGGTGGAGTAGATGCTGGGGCAGAAAGAAAGCACCAGGCAAGGGATGGGACTGAAAGCCGTGTGGTTCTAAATCTGCATCAGTGGCCGGCACTGTTAAAGACGGGAAGGAGCAAAGATTTCCCATTCACAGGCATCTCCCTCAAGTACAGGGTGAGCTTCTGCTCAAACAGAGAAACGCCCACATCTTTAATGTGCTCATAGTCTATTATCTCTCCATCCTTCCAGGATAATTACTCATGAGAAAAAAATATAATATTTAGCAGTGCAGCTTACTGTTAAGCATAAATTACGATCCTGTCTCGAAAGTGCAGGCACCTGGCACTTTGTTAAGGCCGGTACCAGCCGTTCTCACCCAGTGAGCTCACCCCCACATGACTGACACTGGGCAAACATCTGCCCCAGTACTGTTACTTGTTGTTCTGGTGCCTGAAGTCTGTGACTCACTGAGGGCAGGCAGGCAGGATACAATTCCTGATCTGGAATATCTTGGTGTAGTACTGCCTGAATTTCAGGTTCAAAAGCTGGGATGCTTGACAGCAGCGCATCCCTAGATGAAGACAAGTGATCGGGTGCCAGGGCCCTGTTTGTCACACTGCCCTAATGAGCAGCTGAGAGTCTCTCCAGTGAGGATGGGGACAAGCAGCCATCACTGGTAGGGGGCAGTGGGTCGCTGAGGCTGTGGCTTTGGGGGCAGAAGGTCGGGGTTCATGTAGTTCGCTCCTAAGGTCTCCATTACCCTCCACAAATACCTGTGTAGCAGCCAGGACCTGTGACTGCCAGGATAACTTTATGATATGCACAGAGGCTAAGATGAAATGTCCACAAAGATTAAAGAGTACAAATCCTGTGACTCCAATCAGAAAAACTCATGGGATAAGATAGAGACTCTGGGACCACAGAGAACTTGGGAGGTCATAACGCCTCAGGCCGGAGGGTTTTGTCTATTGTCCCAAATACAACACCAGAGGCTTTCCAGATGACCTTTGTTTGGACCCAGGGCCATGACCATGTACACATGGCTCATAATCTGTTTCTTTTCTCCTTGTTTCTCTTCCTTCCTCCCTCCTGCCTCCCCCCACTTTCTCCCCTTCCTTCCTTCCTTCCTTCCTTCCTTCCTTCCTTCCTTCCTTCCTTCCTTCCTTCCTTCCTTCCTTCCTTTTCTTTATTCTTACTTAGAGGCGTTCAGTCATAATCCCACAGATGGTAGCTTTGCCCCATTGGCTCCTCAGCCAAGCTAGGAACAGGATCCAGTGTCTCATACATGCTCAGCACATAGCCTACCACCAAGCTAAACCCAATAATTCATACCTTTAAGTGACCCCAAATGGCTGTCATCAGCTCAAGAGCAAGATCAGACCTGAGAAGCCTAAATTCCCTTCACAGTTTGAATACCTTGCTGCTTGGTGCTCATTATTGGAAGTGTTGAAACATTAAGAGAAAGAAAAAAAAGTTTCAGATACAAAATTTTAAAGGTTAAATATAAGAGAGAGAAAAGTCTTACTTTGTATTTTAACTAGCAGACTTCCAAGAGACACTTAACAATCAGGAGGAATCCACTGTAGGTTTGTATTTTGATTCACATTAAGGCATGTCTTTTTGAAGGTCTTTGGGCATGAAATATTTAAAATATGAAAAAAATGAAGCAAGGAATGTACTGGCATGGCTCTGTTTTGGCATGCAGCATCCCCCACCCACTGAGCCTACCATGTTAAAAAAGAACTTGACGATGATGTCATGTAATTCCCCACCTCAACTTCTCAGATCCAAACTGCAAAGCAACAGATGGCCACATGGGAATCTGATCATGTCTCCCTTTGGAGACGTGGAGAGCATGAAGTCTACAAACAGAGGAGAAGGCAGCCTTGCCGGTGTGTAGATGTAGCAGATCCTAGAACCCAGGTCATGGTAAGCTATACTCCTGGTTCTGGAGTAGTCAAAACTGCACTCAGAATTCCACTTAGTATTTGCTGTCTGTGGTTGCTGAACTTCATATGATTCAGGTGTGGTCTGAGGTGGTGATCTCTGAAGATCTTCCCGCAGCCAGGAGCACAGACGCACCTGACACTGAAGGGGGTGGGCCATTGTCTTCACCAGCCATCAGTGGCCACATGCTTGAGAAAGTGAAGTGCCCTATGAACCTGTGATTGGTAAATCTACAAGACAGTAGAAGAAAAATATGTAGCACTTTTTAGTGTCTACAGCACACACCAGTTTTTAAGAGATACTCTCTAAAGATTTTTTTCTTATGTTGCCAAATTAGCAAATGTTTTCCATTGTGTGTTGACAATACACAATTTGTCTAACTCTGTACTTAGGAAGAAAGACGAGGAGCTCAAATCATAGTACAAGTTTCTCAATACACTTTATATGAATCTGTTTCTATATAAATAAGTGTCATTTAGCGGTAACGATGGGTCAGAGAGTCAGGAGCGAATCGTGATTAAAACTTCACCTACGAGCAAGTCGTTCAAGATTTTGCTCTTAGGAAACTTGGGTCACTAAGGCAGACGCCAGGGACCTCCATGCGAATCTGGAGTACTTGCTCATGAATGAGATGTCAGTGCTATTTGAAACTATACCCGTAGGAAATGCATTTTGATTCACTGTAAGTGGTTAAAACACGGGCTTAGTCTGTTTGACATTTAAAGAAAAAACGAACAAACAACAAGCAGGAACTCTAGTATCTTCTTCGGAGACCCCCGGGGGTGGCAGCACACTAAGGGTGGGGAGTGGGTGCCTGCTGTCATCTCTCAGAGAGCCTACCAAACTGCCACAGCCCAGGCTTCAGGGCGGCACCCATTCAGTCTTGCTGGGTGGACACACTGCCATCTAGTGGAAGCATCTGGCACCGCAGGTCGCAAAGATCTTGGCTTCTTTGGGGAGCAGGTGCACCTGGGCCAGGCAAGGCCCAAGGAGCCCAGGGCTGCTGCCAGCACCTGCTCCCTCGACGCCAGTGGGTACCGAGATCCATAGCGGACACGGCACAACTCCAGCAGCCCTACGCTTGGCCGGCGCGCGACACCGCTGTATTTGCCCAAGCTCTTGGGAACACCAGACCCCAGCTGGAAGTGTTAGGGTCTCCACAATGAAGAGTGGAGAGGAAGTTGGGGTTCTCCGGGACACAATGGATGTGAAAGACAAGAAAGCAATTCGCCATCCACAGGCGTGGAAAGCTGTCACCCAGACTGGCCCAGCAGCGACAGAACGCTAAACAAAACGAACTCTGGATGTGAACATTCCCTCCTGCCGGTTCAGCTTTCCTCCCAAGACTAAAACGTGTTTTGAAAAAAAAAAAAAAAAACAACAAAACTCACTCTCTTTCTGCAGATTTACAGGCCGTGATTCACCTGTTCCTGCAACAGTTTAAAATATAAGACTGTTATAAAGGTGGCACTACTTGCAAAAGCATGAATAATGCCCAGGATATAGTAAAACTCTCTATCCTGCAAATGGTACAAAAAGAGAAAGAAAGAAAAAAAATGTAACTGAAAATTTTCTACTTCAAATTCATGAAATGATTTCTTTTTATTTGTGATAATTCCACACATCTACATGATGTATTAGGATCATATTCACCCCCATGACTCTCTCCTACTCCATTCCACTCCCGCCCCCTCTGTTTTCATGGCTGCTGTGGGCAGGTCTTGTGCAGGTAGGCATCTCTGCTATACATCAGATCCAGAAGACAGCATTTCTCAGTGCCCTTCCCCAGCCTCTGCTCATGCAGTGCGTTCCTTGTGATGGTGCTGGAGCCAGGCTGCTGCTGCTTCCAGCCTGGGTTGGAGAAGCTTCATTGTGCAGTGGGCTATGATCGATGAAGAGACTCATAACAACTGGTCAATGTGCTGAGAATATTGACTGTTCAGTCCTCAATCCTAAACAGGACACCTATAAGACACCCTCTAGAACCCAGGGAACATCCCAGAGAAATTTAGGAACTCTTTTGAGAGTCACCTCAGTATGACAGAAGGTCTTAAGTTGAACACTCTTTTTAACATGCTAAAATTTTCTCAAAAATACATCATAATGCTAAAGCTTTGACATTAGAGCATGTTGGTGAGCACACATATACAAAAAAGTAAGGTGTAGATACTCACAATTTATTTTTATAAATAAAAATAATTGGAAAGACAAGAGTCTGTGCAAAAATGCTTATTTTAAATGTATTTAAAGTACAATTCACTGTTGTTTTTTTTATGCTGGGTTATATTGAGAGAAAATTAAGGTTATTTTCCAGGATACACCAGTACACTTCCTTGTGCGATGCTGTTTTTGTGGTGGCCTGTGGAAGACTTGTCCCTGATCCTACAAACACTGTGGTCATGGATTTATAAGTTCCTTGGAATGTGGAACTGTAGTTTTTAGGCCACCCTTAACTACCTCTGGGCAGGCTTTGCTGAGGTTTTCAGGCCCCCAGGCCCTATGCTTGCCACCATAAGAGCGTGTCTTCCGGTGCAATGGGTGATGATGGGAAGGGGTACATTTTAACATCCAGCCTTTACTCGACCATCCCTAAAATATTCTTTTCACTACTGGGGCCAGTGACCCGGAGAATTTACACAGGAAATGGCCTTCCTGTTAATTTATCAAGAAGTCCTGAGTTCTGTGCCCTAGTCCAAGCACATTTGTGGTGTGCTTTGGTCTCCAACAGAGTCCAAGAAAAGGAGGGAAGTGCCATAGTTGAAGATCTTCATGCAAAGCAGAGAATTGGGTGCTTCCTGGGAAGGACCGCGTGTGTCTTACCTGCTTCAAGGTAGCTTTTTTTATTGTCAAATACTTCTAATAATTTGTTTAACACCTTCGAGACATCCTCTTTATAAGAAAACTGGATGTTCACATTCTAATACTGACATCACATCTGTATTGCATCTGGGCTCAAAAATCACAAGAAGAGGCCTCTTTTTTTATTTACTCTCATTTCCCCCAAATTTTTCCATAGCTTCAAATCCATTCTTCTGAAGACAAATAAAGCCATTCATGGTTTGAAATAACTAAGTGAAGATTAACTTCAGGATGAAAATGGGAATTGTGATTACCGAGGTCTATATATAGCAAAATAGTACAGAATCCATAGGGCTGTGTTGAGCTGCATTCTCGATGGGCGGTTATTTAGGGGTTTATTTGGTTTTTCATGTTTCTCTTGACTTTTGTTTTGAGGTAGAGCCTCACCATGGAGCTCCAGGTGGTCTGGAGTTAGCTATAAGGGCCAGCCTGGATGGGCATGTGTGGTAATCCTCCTGCCTCTGCCTTTCAAGTGCTGGGATTGCTAGTACACCAGCACACCTGGCTTGTGACTCGCGTTGGTGACCTGTATGTTTATTTCCCAATCGGTGGAGAGTGTTTCAAACGCCCTGATTCTGCAGCTAAGCCTTGATTCCTTTTCAGTTCCTGTCAAACTCTGCCCTGAACATGTGTGCACAGCCACATTCCAATTCTGTCAACAACAATAAAAACGGTTACAGTTTAAAATTGTGCTGCTTGAGCTACACCAAGTCGCTTTCAAAAGAAAAGACCAGAAGCAATCAGGTTGTTAGTAATTCAGTACATTCTCCCTGCTTCTAGTATGACCAGGAGTCTATGTCCCGGCCCAGGGCTCCCTCTCCTTGCATTGGCTCTGCAGGAAGCCCAGCCTCCCCTGGCACATCCACTGTATAAGATGCCCTGGCCTCCTCAGGCCCCTCACCCCAACACCAGGTGCCAGCAGGAAGGCAGAGCATAGACAGCTGATTGCTATGCACCATGCTGCCAGACTCAAAGACGGAACCTATGGGAACGCAGAGCTCTTGCTAATGTCAAATTATTATGTTGAAACAGAGCTGTGCGAATTCTAAAAGCCTTGGCCGGCAGTCAGCTCAGTTGCTAGCTGCGGACAGAACATAACCCAGACAGCCCATTAAAAACGCATAAATGTGATGATTTGGGTACTCATCCTGCATGCTTAGTTAAGAGTAAAAATCCAGAGGCCTCTCGCTGCAGAGACTGGCTGCTGGTGTGCGGTGGCAGCGTAAGTCTGTTGATGCCTACTGTGGTGCCCGAGAAGATGCCAGTCAGCAGCCCCAGTCTCCTCTGACAGAGATGAGCATGCATCCTCAGGGACCTGGGCTTTTGGCTTCTTTCGTGTTTCAAAGAATGTGAGGGCCGCACACAGGGGCTCACTGGCTTAGAGATCAGGACTATGGATGGAGGATGGGAGCCCAGGTCAAGAAGCCAACTTTTTCTGGGTCTCAAGGTGCA